TGCGGAATAACGGTTAACGTCATAATACGGTTGCACAATGGTATAAGCGTTGCCGCGCTGCCGTTAGCCATACAATACCGCATAATGGGTGGGTATCGGTTATGGGTAATCCTGGCATCTCTGGTCCCGCCTGCGCTAAGGCGTTAAGTATCAATACCCGCAAGGTGATCATCTTGCAAAATGGAAATGCAAAAGAAATCCCGGGCGAAGATGGAACGCAAATATCTGCCATCCTACCTATTAAAGCGGTACGGAAAGCTCAGCCTGGTAAAATGTTCCAAAGGAATCATGGGTTTCCATATACCTTTAAACTCCTGAAAGTGAAATCACCATCCTTCCAGTGTGGATGGCCCCAAACGAGCTTTGGGGTCTCACCGTAGAAAAGTCCATATGCCCTCCTGTAAAAGTGTAAAATGCGAAACAAACAAAAGGTGAAGGTCACGCCGCAACATTACCCAATGAAACTCCAATACTTCGGTGATAGACTGGGCACGCGGCGAGAGCACGGGCCAGCTGCTATGATACCAAATGCCATTCATTGCCCTCTCTGTCTGCCCTACCGCTAAAACGCATTAGGGTTCGTCCCTATCATCAGATTTCAGACGACGTATGTCAAAACATCATCCGTACACTATCACGGACGTAAGTGTTGATACGTGGCGTCGCGAAACAATGTACGACCTTCCGCACGCAATTTCGGTTCAAACGCCTTCGAAAGCCCCGGCTGGAATTTGAGAGGGTGTGGAATATCCATCCATCCGTGAAACCAACCTGAATCTATGGCCAAAGCAAACAGGACAAATAAATCTGGAATGTTACATTTTGCCACTTCGCATGGAGACATTTGTTCCAGAAAATCTTTAGAACATCCTTCCGGATCCCCAATTATGTAGATTACGCCCACGTTGTTGATCACTCTATCGTCAATCCAGACCTGATTATTTCGGCGAATCTGCCTATGGCAGATGGAAACGAGGCCGCCGAGTGCGACGTTAAACAAAGCAGACCAACCTACCGAGCGAACCCGCCTCCGCCAACACATGCTTGTCGTAAGAGGCGCACTAACGGGATCAGGCAGTGGTCATCCCGCCGCTGATCTTCAGCGACTCGAAAATACCCACCCCATCCCTAACCTACAAGAAAATACAGCACATGGTGGTGTAACATCTCATTGTAGGCTTCGCTGCGCTGCGCAAGGCCTGAGGGAAGTGCTGGAGGTTGAGGTCAAACAGACTCGTGAAGATCCGGGATAGAAATTGGCCTTCTGCGACACATGCCTGACGCAAGAGGCGACTATCAGATCTTGGGTCACCGACTCGCCCATGTCGATGTAGCGTCAGCGTTTGTCAAACACTAGGCTGTTCAATGCAGACTGATTTCGCACCACCGCTAAATAGCAGGAATACCGCTTGAGTGCTGCGGCTAGCAGGAATACCGCTGATGGCGGTAAAGGCGAACAACACTAAGCCGATGCGGTATAGCAGGAATACTGCTGGCGGCAGAATACCGCTGAGTGCAGCTTCTTAGTGAATACTGCTGATGAGGTGTAGCAGGAATACCGCTGAGTGCGCAGGCGTAAAGCAGCAGGAATACCGCTGAGCGCGCGCAGCGGCGAAAACGGCTGAGCGGCGGAATACCGTTGAGCGCGGTGTAGCAGCCCATCGCTTCGATGCGCGAATACTGCTGAGCGCGGCTTTAGCAGGAACAATGCCGAGTGTAGTTTAGCAGGTCAATTGCTGAGTGCGGTGTAGCAGGAATAATTACCGATGCAGCAGGAATACCGCTGGAGTGCGTGGTGTAGGATGGAATACTCAAGAGCGCGGTATAGCAGGATTTACTGTTGAGCAGCGGCATAAAGGCGAATATTGGCTGAGCGCGTGTTATGTTCACCGCCGATGCGTGTGATGAATACCATCGAGTGAGGTGTAGCAGGAATACCGCTGAGCAACGTAGCAGGAATACCGCTGAGTGCGGTATATAAAGGCGGAATACCGCTGAATCGCGGTAATGCTATGAATACTGCTGAGTGCCGTGTATATAAACACTGCTGGAGTTACCGTGTGTTAAGTGAAATTACTGGCTGAGTGCGGTATAGTATTGTTGGAAATATTGCTAAAAGCGGCGTACAACCATACTCATTCAATCACTCATCACTATCCCTAATAAACCCATCGTAAAGAAATTGCCCCGCGTAACGCCGCAACACTCCATCATCTAGCTTCGCTGGGCGGCTGGCCTCACGGGCAAAACATGGACTAGATAATCCATTGACTTGATTCCTGGAGCACCGATCTACGCAGTTGCATTTATCACGGGCCGTCATCAACCGGCAATGGCAGCATGATTGATCATCCGATGCCGTCTGTTGCCGCTTCTCTCGGGTTGCTGAGACCAATTCCAACCCAGGTGTTTAGTGGTGCGAGATCATAGTTTGTTTAATCTATTCAGATCAATTTTATGTACATTATCCTCTCTCGGGGACTCTCTCGGGGACCATCGGACCTAGAATAAAAGCTGAATTTATTTTGAAATGAGAATTCGAAGAAGAGTGAAGTAATTGCTAAATTCGTTCAACTGCTTACTGTTCGATGTGTACGGATGTGACAACATTCAAATATGTTACATGAATAATGGTGTCATCACGAATCATTAAACAGGTCATTATGCTGAAACATGACACTCAGCAAGGATCCAAACCGTTCAGCTGGAACCAATCATAATAATGTTTATGTGGTGTAAATGTTTATAAGGCTGTCGTATTGATGGACATACCTACTTTCCCTGACGACATACCCACACGGTCCTTATTCAACATGAAGCTGCTTCCTTCTGGTGGTTCTAGGTAAGTTGCATCCCATGTGTTATACCACCTGTGACTTTTCATAAGGCTGTAGACCACACTTTGTCAAGGACATATCTGTCTTGTTTAACGTTCATCAGCCGATTTCCATGTGTATGGTACGAGTTAAACCAAACATGGGCTTGCACTGTGCTGCATTTGTACATTACTGCAGAGCCAGTCACAGACCAAGGACCTAACTTGTCATATGGATTGTAAATATTATCGAGCCACAAGACTTGAGGCAGCTCAAATGTGTTAGTGAGTAGAGGCGTTGTAAGTGTTTTTACTGTCGGTACGATATCGTAATGTGGAATCTAAAGGGCCCCGAATACCTGAAGTGAATCAGCTATACTTTACCATCGGCCGTATTGCAGTTATATCGTGCCCAGACTCGATTAATGACAGACCGCCGCTGACAGTGAATGAGTTTAGTTTTATGCCGCACTCAGCAATATACCAGGGGCGGACTGTAAAATAATCTAGTCTGGACAAGACAATCTGGTGATCAACAGCATGAACATCCATCTTCGCCATGGGGATATGATGACATGTGGTCAACCAAGTCAGCGAGCCTGACCAACCGATCCCGTTAGTCTCCTCTTACGACTAGCATGGGTTGATGAAGATCAATTCTAACCCGGATTTTCACGGGTAATATTGCTGGGAGCGGCGTTAAACAACAAACAAGAAAAGAAATATACGAAAAAGACATTTGTTTTACCCACCCTTGTATGTTTCAGTTTTTCAGTGGTTCAGCTGAGTGCTGGGCCTGGGATTATGGATGGTGAGTAGAACAGTGTTTGGGACACTCATCTGCCCCATTTAGTTTCAGAGACGGTATACCGACGATAGTCCACGTACATCCGTTAACTACACAATGTATCGGACAGATATGGAGTGGAGACATTGTATGATTCATAGCTGATGATCACTCCGCATATATACTCTTCAAAAAAGATGTGGAACCTTTTTTTCACAGATTGAAATAATTGGGAGATATATCGGAGTCAATCAATGTTGATATGACAATAATGCATGTTTAGAGAGTGCATCACCACTTGCATTTCTTTATGACCATATTTGTTTTATAGTAATCGTTCTTAAAAGATTATTGGTGCATGACGTGAATTTTTCATGTGTACAATTTTCATTGTCACAAGTAATGGTCTACATCGATTTATTGAAACGTCAAACCTTAAGAATGACACCCCATGCACGTGTATGGGGGTTACTGCGTTATTGCCGGTGCATCCCATTCGTTGTGTTTAGGGGTGGTGATAAAGAGAAATGGTGGTGCGTTCATAAGATGTCTGTCTTTGAAAAGTTTGTTAACGCTTATACTTTCTTGAAAGATCAGGTTCCCGTACTTATTTAAAGGTATAGTTCGAACAACGTGGCGTGCAATTGTGAGAAAAGCTTTTTCATATAACGTCCTGATTACACATAGAGTACTCAGTTTGAGGATAGGTGGTGTCTAGGGAAGGTCGTTTGGTTGTATATTTCACGTCTGTTCACGATGATCACACTGTGGAGTAAAGCATGGTATGTGTGCTGATGCAGTGCTGTTTGTTTTCAGCGTGGGTCAAAAATTCCTTATGGAGAGTACGACAGTCAAATATCACTGAATCAAAGTATGTCTAAGTATATCACTAACACATTGATATGAGAGGTATTTAACTATGGAGCTGCTCTCCTCGCAATATGGCTGCCTTACTGGCGATGCAACGTTAAAGTTTGACTCACTCATTCGCCTTCAGTTGAAATAGCAGATCCAATGGTTGCCCACGTTCTGGACTCACCACTGGACATGACGTAACACGTGGATTTGCAGACACATTTGCTCCAGTCTTTGCATTTTGATATTCAGGTTGTACTCCATAAATGGATATAATACATCCCCCGTGGTAGGTTCCATGGTACCTGATTCAACAACTGTTTGAGAACACATCTGTACATCATAAATTGATAAATATACTATTCAAAAAGAAACGAATAACCCAGAAATCTGTTGCGAAAATGTTGTATTTTCAAACATGTATAACTCGTCCACAAATAGACATTAGTGCACGAATTTTTACATTTGTTTAGAAGAAGGCAATGTCTATACAACTATGTGGATAACTGTAGCTAATGGAGACGTTGATCGCGATGGTGACCACATAGCATGGTCCCGACGTCGGGTCTCCTGGCTCTCAGTCAAATCTCTCAACCTGTTCCGAACAGTTTGACCGGATATCCTCCGAAGTTCAGGCACCCTGGCTGCTGTTCTCTCACTCGTGGCAGTACGATCACGCAAATGTAGTACCCGGATGTACCGATCTTGGGCTGCAGTGGTGACTCGAGGTCTGCCTGTACGGGCACGGTCTTTGGTTATATCTGTTTGGTTGTAACGAGCTGCAAAGCAGTGATGTCGTGTTCAGACTAACATTCAGACGCCTGGCAACAGAAGATTAGTAATCTCCAACATGCATTCTTTCAATGGCGATGTTCCGTGTCGCAGCGTCAAGACGTGGCGTAGTGATTTGACCTTGAAACTCCTTCAAAACGAATGCCGATTTCCGAAAGTAATCTGGATTTTTATAGCCAGACAGTGCATTTCTGTTGCGTTGTGGCGATGCCTTTTTAATTCTTGTAAGAAATCTCATCAAAATCAACATTTTCAGGTAAAGTCGATTTTTCACTTGTGTCAGAGTGTAAAATTATGTTATCAACATATTTTGACGATTGTTTGAAAACAATTGGTAATTAATAGATTTTTAAAAATACAAAAGCTTATGTGTTTCTTTTTTGGATATCATACATCTCCGTGTCAGGTTCCATGGTACCTGATTCTACAACTGTTTGAGAACACGTGTGCAGACAATTTCAAATCGTCCTTTGGGTGCAAATTCAATGAGGTCTTGAACAAGCTCGATAACATCAGCAAATCCCGATTCCACTTTCTGTTGATCCCCTTGCTGAATTTATAGTGGTATTTACCCCAGCCTTCATTCGGTCCATTTGTTATAACCAGTCAGTGGTAGTTTAACTCTCGGCATCCCCATTTGTTATAACCAGTCAGTGCTAGTTTAACTCTCGGCATCCCCATTTGTTATAACCAGTCAGTGCTAGTTTAACTCTCGGCATCCCCATTTGTTATAACCAGTCAGTGCTAGTTTAACTCTCGGCATCCCCATTTTTGTTATAACCAGTCAGTGCTAGTTTAACTCACGGCATCCACATTTGTTATAACCAGTCAGTGCTAGTTTAACTCTCGGCATCCCCATTTGTTATAACCAGTCAGTGCTAGTTTAACTCTCGGCATCCACATTTGTTATAACCAGTCAGTGCTAGTTTAACTCTCGGCATCCCCATTTGTTATAACCAGTCAGTGCTAGTTTAACTCTCGGCATCCCCATTTGTTATAACCAGTCAGTGCTAGTTTAACTCTCGGCATCCACATTTGTTATAACCAGTCAGTGCTAGTTTCACTCTCGGCATCCCCATTTGTTATAACCAGTCAGTGCTAGTTTAACTCTCGGCATCCCCATTTGTTATAACCAGTCAGTGCTAGTTTAACTCACGGCATCCACATTTGTTATCATAGTATCTTTGTTAACTTCTACAACCTAGTGCGACGGCTGGAAGCCAAGTGGGTTAAAGTGTCCCGCTCGTCACGTCGAGGGACCGGGATCTATTTTCACATGGGTTGAGCAACCATTATAATAAAAGTCCGGGCTTACACGTGATGTTTTGATAAAATGGTCTAATTTTTGGCCAAAATATACCCATAAACACGATATCAAAACAATATAAAATGGTAATCCCTCTATTGATCATATTGACTACAATATTCTTTGATAACAAAGCATTAAAATGGAGTCTGCCTTTACGGTAAACATGTTATTCTTCATATCATATTCTTTCGAACGCGTCTGGTTGGGTTCATTGCTGGTGTCCCCCGTCGTGATATTGCTGGAGTATCGCTAAAAGCGGCGTAATAGCATACCCACTCACTCCCTCATAAATATACTGTGCTTAAATATACCCCTCAAAGTAGGTATTAGAGCAGATATCAATGTTCACCATAAACTCCACTCACTCAATCCTACAACCTAGTATTCATGAAGAAGCTCTTGACTGTTGTATCCCTTATCATACAGGATTTTATACACATCGATTCTCTCCCTTACAGTTGAAAACGGTGTGAAACGAACTTTGCTCACTCATTCACTCACTCTTCATTTGCAGGAAGCCCTTTGCTGCATCAGACGGCAGAAAACAGTGGTGTTGACCAAAGATACTCCTGAAGATACTGACATTAAAAGATTGAAAAAAGAATTCTTGTTTTTGAAAACATTTCGTTCGATGCATTCATTTCGGGATGTGACGCTTTGATGTGGTATATGGTATATGGTATGTGATATATAGTATATGACATATGGTACAACTCCCTCAGTGAGAAAATAACATTTTAACATCACACTGGACTAGAGCCATAGCCTCATAAATGGAATTTTGTTTGATGATATGAAATATAGTTGCTTTGTTTAAATTCCCAAGTTGAAACTAAATAGTGTAAAGTGGTAATCGGTAGAGTACTATCTTCTAACAAGCAGCATAAAATTGGCTGTAATAAACAATTGTATTCTTAAATTGACCAAGTTCTCCGAGAACAAAATAGATTCTTTTACCAGCAACAATATAATGAATTAAGAAACACTTAATACTTTCAAATCTGTCTTCACAGATGGACCCAATGATGGTGCCAGTGTTTCTAGTGCTGCTGCCATTTGATTAAGAATAATACCTTCAAGATAACCGGATGAGCGGCTCCGTTGTACAGCAGAGCCTCATGCTATATCAACCCTAAAATATAAGTAACAAGTCTAAGTCTACACATACACAGTTCGTCATATATCTACAGGCCATTAAAAGCATGTCTTCTAAACATCCACTTTTAATATAAATTATTGAACTATTTAACGTTCTTGCTACTGGTCAATACCATATCGTTTTTGTTCGTAAAACAACCGTGTTGGAATTCCCTGGTAACAATATTGATGATGCTGCAGCTAAAGCGGTATTCAACGCATTTGTGACGCTCCTCACTTCCCTATACTGATTACAAACCGAGCATTTAGTGGAACACTCAAGTAGGGTACCAATAATTTACACTATTGGTTATACTAATGAAGAATTTCTTATACGATGCGACATTGGTCATTCTGACGAGGAACATCCATTATGTATCCCTTGTAACGAAATAATCACGGTAACGTTCTGCTTGACGGAATCGATTTTTTCTAACACAAAGGGATCAGTATAATCAGCGTAAAACAAGCAAGGATTTTTGGCCTTGTCAATTATCATCTAATCTTTTTTATATTTACATGCTAGTTGTATATCTATATCTGTGATATTCCAGTTGTTTCTACTGTCCTTCGTTGACAGGTTTTATAATGTAACTTTCTGTATTATAAATGTATAACTTGTTTTAGCCATGATATGGCTGAAATACTGCCAATATAATTTAAAACCGTAACGCACTCACTCACTCACTATTCCATTACATTTCAGCACAAAGGTATCACTGTAGCAGTAAAATATGTCTGGTAGTAAAAACTCGTAGGAAGTTTAATACAAGAGCAGTGATTGAGACAATGGACACTTATATTCACCTCTAAGCAACAACAATTCTACTATGGCTACGTGAAATACATGAAGTTGATTGGCCTTTAAATAAAATTAGACATTTTATGTTACTGCGCACATACACAACTTGAGATATCGAATAGGTTTGAAGCATTTCCCAAAGAACTGACGTCACACCTTCGACACTTTTTTTATGCGGAACTTCGCAAGATAACAGTCAGGCGAGACACCAAATCTATGCTACTCATGTTTGTCCCGTTGCATCGTTCCAACAGTACATGGCAAAATTTAAAAGAGAATTCTGGTTTCTGTCAGCTTCCCGCAAGACTGTGACTGCTGGTGATCCATCTCCGTACACTTTAAGAAACTCTTGACCACAATCCTGTTTTATATAATGAAAACAATTTTCAGTAGTGGCGCAGTTAAATAGATACATTGTGCATTTAATGATAAAAGCATAAAACATTTAGTATAGTGCCAATTTTCAGATATGGGTTGGGGTAACCTAGTGGTTAAAGCCTTCGCTCGTCACGCCAAAGACCTGGGTTCGATTCCCCACATGGGTATAATGTGTGAAGCTCATTTCTCGTGTCCCCCGCCGTGATATTGCTGGAGTATTGCTTGGCGTAAAACCCTACTTACTCACTCGGATATGGAGGCACTTGCGCATGCGCAGAAGGTTTTGTTTGTTAACATCCCAGTCAGCAATATTCCTGCTATATGTAAGCAGTCTGTAAATAATCGACTCTGGATCAGACAAGCACGTTATCGACATCACGAGCATCGATCTACGCCGTTGGGACACGATAACATATGTCAACTAAGTCAGCGAGCCTGATCTACCGATGTCTAACCTGTTTTCTAACCCGAATCTTCATGGGTCTAAAGTTTGACATCGGCCTCCCACGCACCCTCGATCGCGAGGTACACACACATACCTGTGGCAAGCCTACAGTAGATGTTACACTCAACATAAGGAAACGGGCTGTATTCGCGGAAGGAGAGCGTGTATTGATGTGGAGTGCTTGAAGAATGTCAGCGAGGATGTCGCCTCTTATCACAAGCATGGATTCCAGGGCCTAGATTTTCTCTTTGCGTTACGATAGTCATAAGTTAATGTTAATGTATGGCACTTACGACTATCTTTGCTGTAAGAAAGCTTCGAAAATCTAGGCCCAGAAGTCCAATTCAAACTCGTACCTTCACGAGCGTGTGCAGAAGGTAGATACTACTTTTTGCCTATTCTCGCTACTCTTTTAGATTTGGAAAGGCCACCAATGCATAACAGGGAAATTTTATGTAAAATGATAATACCCACATATTCTGGTTACATGTCTTGAAACTAAAAGAGAGTGAGTTTTATTAACATTTGGTCCCTCACAGTTGTGAGTCCTGTGCATTTAATAAATGGTACATAACAATTGATCAAAGGGAAGATCTCGTCGTCCTTTTGACGTCACAAAACGAAATGGTGGCAATAAGGAATGCCCAATTTGGGGATCGTGTGTGAGCGTGCGTGTGTGTGCGCGCGTGTGTGGAAGTGCGTGTGTGTATGAGAGAGAGAGAGAGAGAGACCTGACCTAGTTCACTCAATGCTTGTTTGGGCCATTCAGCTTTTAGTAGATAATATTATGACTATACGAAGTTATATTACTCAGAACCAATAATTCCTTAAAGGGTACATGTACCGACTGAATAGGCCAAGCTACTCAATATTACAACCGTGATTTAACGTTATCTTCGTAGTTCACAGTTAGTTCAGAACGTTGCAGATATATACAAGCGGGAGACAGATGGGTCACTCTGACCTACCGATATCTAGTTATCATGCACACACCACATCACATGTGTGGTGCATAGGTCGGACATCTGGAGTTTGTTGGACAGCAGGTTTTAGCACACGTAACGTATCCCGGAGTAAAACCTTTCTCAGAGTACGGAACGGGTAAAACGAGACATCAGAACATCAGAATGTTATAACTATATATAACGACGTTTAGCGTTTCGGTCAATAGTACAACATACCAGGGCCCACTTGCACAGAGCAATCTTAGTTACAATCAATCTTAGGGCCTTACAATCAACTTTACAATCACCATACAATTGCCCTAATCCACTTGCACAAAGCCGATCTTAGCGCGATTGTAAGACGGCGTGTATTTAAGATCGCGATCTTAGCTAAGATCGAACTCTTCAACGGTAGAGGTGCGAATTTCTTAAACTCGACTCCTGTATACAGTTGTCTGCAAGTGCGCATAGCATACTGCGCAAATAGAGAGTGATACTTGACCCTGCACACAATACATACGTCCCTCAATCGCACTTTGCAGAATTTTCATGAAAAACATTCCCAGAAATCTTCGAAGGAAACAATAACGTGGACGATAGCATATATTTTTCTACATTTTAACCGTCTTGTTTTATGAACTGAGAATGTGATATTTCAACCACGGAAATACCTACCCATGTTTTATGTAAATATAGCACTGCGAAAAAATACATTCATAAATTTGGGTCTAGATTTAGTGACTTAATAATTATGAAAATTATAATAATATGTCAAATGTCGACAATATTTCCTTATGATATAACACCTATAACACCTATGCATGATTTGCCACTGGTTGTCAATGAGACATTGTTTTATGTACAGCTGTTTTGTTTCGTTTTCTTTTTTTGTGTGTGTGTAAAATCCTAAATATACCCTAGAAGTATTGGTTTTCTCACAATATAACAAGAAAATGTAATATGGCTAAAGAAGTGTTGAGAAATCATGACAGGGAAATACGAATATCAAATAATATATCGAGAGAGCAGTTGTTAAATACTCATTCACAGTATATTAATGATATGGCCCTATTGCGTTGATAAATATTTTTCTGAAAGTGAAATTAATATTGAATCTTGATTTTGCACGTTTTCTTGTATCTAATTTTTGATTACTTTAATGATTAACTCAGACAAAATCACTCCGTCACCGAAAAGAAAATATCTTGAGCTCTTCGATTGGGTATGACAGACAGGCATAGGCCAGGGGAAACCACTCCCATCTTGCCCATAAACCTAAAAATTATCTGCTCTTGAGTTAATGAAAAGGTCATGGCCATTGTTAATCGCACGCGGACACCATTTGCTAGTATCCTTTCCTTGATTATCAAAAAAGGTATGTTGTTTCACACTTATTCCAACATTGAATCGGGTGGGAATAGTTCTTTGTGATATCGACTCGATAGTTCTGTAGTTCACTACAGCAAATAACAATGTATCCGACATTAAACGGTGGTGCATTCTCCGTGTTGTTGAAGTGTCGAGGCGAATCATACAGTACAGTTTTATGCAATATAAGTAATCTCCAAACGTAAAGCTGATTATTTGCGTGACACTTGAACACCATTTTGTCACAGACTATAATGATCTTAGCTCCTTACAATTGGTCCGGACCAATTGTAAGTTTCGATTGTAACTTACAATGATCTTAGCCTACAATCGCTTTGTGCAAGTGGATGGCGATGGTGGCCGAAGCCTAAGATCGCGATCTTATGGATTTACAATAATTTTAGCGCTAAGATAGTTCTGTGCAAGTGGGCCCAGATGTATGACGTCATGGCGAACACAACTGATCATACGAACTGGATCACATATACACCAGGGTCACGACTTTTGTGACGTCACCGGACAAATCACACGCCATTACATTCGCAAGGGCACGGTCACGCACGATCCCAGAATTGGCGATCCTTTCATTAATGCCACCATTTTGGTTGTGACGTCATAAGGAGAATGAGATCATCCATTTGATCTACTGCAATTTACCGACTCCACTGTTATGCTAAACCTCTGGGCCAACACGTTTGCGAGTTTAAGAGGAAATCGTGTGGTGCCAGCAGATTTCCGAGCTCATAATATTGCGTCACCTCGGAAATGTGCCAGCATCATACTACTTTTAACCATCGTGTAAAGTGCGCATCAGTTTGGCTGTGATGTAATATTTCAGGGCAGAACAATCAATTGGTCAACATCATGAGCATCGATCTACGCAAATGGGATACAATGACATGTGTACATCATTAACGAGGCTGACCACCCGATCAATTTAATCGCCTCTTGCCACAAGCATGGGTTGTTGAAGACCAATTCGAACACGGATCTTCATGAGGACTTAAGGCTCACGGCAGTCTTTGAAATACGACCACTTTGTGGAACTGGGTCCAACTCATATATCCATGGTTTTCAGCAACCCATGCTTGTCCCAACCCAAGATTTTCTGACTTGGTTCTGTAGCTGAAGTACTTTTAACCAATGTTCTGATACTAGTGTTCTACTACCAATTGTCCTGGGCTGGAGCTATTTCAGTGGACATCAAGGGTGGAGTACTGCAAGGGGATAAGTTACGTGTTATCGTATCAGGGACACAACACTATTTTGATAAACATGCAACTGTGTTGACGTGTTTTCACCTGTAACATGCCGATGGCACGTAAAACGTTCGACACGTTGCATGATCAATATGTTTACTTCCTTAATGATTGCACGTGTTTAATAAACTGATGCTAAGAATACTTGTCTTTTTACAACCAAGTCTGGATGATAATGCTGAATGTGGCATAGCACCCAATTTCCTTGCCGAGGTCACGTGCTTCATGATTGCGCAATGTTGTGTGTTTGGAGGGGTTTTTTTTCGTTCCGAAATGCTTTGCTACATGAATCAATAGATTTCATTAGTGTATGGTCGAGTTGGTTCGCAATGAAACAAAATTCCCCTTCCTCTTTGTTTTATCAAAGCTGCTGTCCAATACATTCAAAATGTCCGACCTATATACCACAGATGTGATGTGGTGTGTGCATGATAACTTGATATCGGTAGGTCAGAGTGACCCATCTGTCTCCTGCCTGTACATATCTGTACTGATCTGCACTAAATGTGAACTATGAAGATAACGCCAGATTGGGATATCGGGTTCGAATCCCCGATTCGTCCTGAGGGTGAACCCTGCGTGTGGTTTTCAACAACGCAAGATCCATAAAACATTCATGACTTCTGGCTTTTCTCCCAAACTACCTGTACTTAACTAATGCAAGTGACACTAAGTTCATAGTCTCCCCACTTTCATTCGAACAGTATAAATCAGCTGGTCATAAAAATGTGTGATCCCTTCTCGACAGCGAATGCATGTTAAACTACCAATACGGTACAACACACGACCATCACAGAATAGATAAAAGGAACATATCAGTACTGTTGTTAATAAGGCCTTGCCTGTCAACTTGAACGGGACACAATATTGAAATACATATATTATTGTTAAACAATACCCAGTCTTTTCTTTACTCATATTCCATCCGGTGAAACGTGCCAAATGGCCGTGACAATGTTATGGATGAACCACTTAAAATAGGTGAGTGAGTTTAATTGTACGTCGCACTCGGCAATATTCAAGCTATATGGCGGCCGTCATGAAATAATCGAGTCTGGACTAGACAATCCAGTGATCAACATTATCAGCATCGATCTACGCAATTGGGATACGGTGACATGTGTCAACCAAGTCAGCGAGCCTGACCACCCGATCCCGTTAATCGCTTCTTACGACAAGCATGGGTTGCTGAAGATCAATTCTAACACGGATCTGCACGGGTACTTAAAATAACTGAGAAGGCTAAGTATGACTTAAGAGGCACATGGTCACCACTCGCCCCGTTCCACAATCAAACTGAGGAGCGTATTCTTAAAGTTGGTTTGTCATAAATCTCTCCTTTCCTGATTGCTGGAATTAGACGCGAAACAAAGAAAAATGTTCATCTCCTTTAAATAGCTCAGCCATACTACCGAGAACAGTAATCTTTGTTTAATGTGCTCATATGCCCCTTCCAGATTATGCTCGTTTAAATCCGTCGTAATAATTTCAAGTATTGCTGACCGCCTCCGTGATGTAGTGGTTAGAGCGTCCGCCCGGAGAGCGGAAGGTCGCGGGTTCGATCCCCGACCGCGTCATACCAAAAGACCTTAAAATATGGTATTTGTTGGTCCCTGCCTGGGGCCTTGCATTAATGGGTACAACAAGGACTGGTCGGCTCGGAGTCAGTATAATGTGTCTGAGTGGGGTATCCATGCTTCACTGCGGCATGGTATCTCAGTGGGCTAGCACTATGAAACCAGCTTCAGTCTGGGCTAGTACAAGCAGCCGCACATACAAACACACACGCACGTCGTCATATGAGCGAAATATTCTCAAGCACGACGTTAAACCCAATTTCACCTCACCTCACCTTCAAGTATTGCTGACAGTGGTGTAACAACCTTTCACTCACAACAATGTGTGTTTAACATTAGACGTGTTTCTAGACTGGGCTGGACATTGCTCCCAAACTATACTTTCATCCTGGTGTCCTGGGCCTAGATTTTCGAAGCTCTCTTAGCGCTCAGATAGTCGAAAGTGCTATACATTAACATTAACTTACGACTATCTTAGCGCTAAGAGAGCTTCGAAAATCTAGGTCCTGCTAACTTAGCTTCTTAGCGTCAGTCTGTTTTATCTCAGTTCGATATATATGTATGTTATGTACATAGTCGGGAATTAAGTATCGTGTACAGTTGGTTGTGATATAATATTCTAGGGTAGAAATAATTTGCTTTCGTTTGTTTGTTTGTTCGTTGTTTAACGCTGCACTCAGAACGATCCGGGTTAGAATTGGTCCTCAGCAACCCAGGCTTGTCGGAAACCCACGACGCGATTTGTTGACATGACGTTCATGTATCTGAATTACTGGTTGGAACCGATTTCTTGATACCAATGTTTTAATACCAACTGTCCTGAAGTGTGCCCCACCTGTAACATTCTGGTGGCATGTATAATGTTCCAAACGTTACATGATCAATATAGTTACTCCCTTAATGATTGCATGTGCTAACTGGAAGTAATTTAAAGATGTGACTGTCCTTTTACAACCGAATCTGGGAAACAATGGTAAATGTGCTTTTTGTTCCGAAATGCCTAGCTACATGAGTCAATAGATTTCATTGGTGTATGGTCGAGTTTCACCACACAACAAAATTCCCCTACAGCTTTGGCACAGCATATTTTGTTTTATCAACGCTGCTGTCCAGCAGATTCCAGATGTCCTACCTATATACCCACACATGTGATGTGTACATGATAACTAGATGTCGGAAGGTCAAGAGTGACCCATCTGTCTCCCGTCAGTACATATCTGCAGTAATCTGCACTACTGTGAACTCTAACCCAGGTCTTTAGATGTGAGATATCATAGTTTGTTTTAATCTTTTTTCAAAGCAATTTCATGTACCTTACCCAAATCTCTCTCAGGAACCATCAGGCCTAGAAAAAGGCTAAATTTATTTTGAATGAGAAATCGAGAAAAAGCGGAGTACATGTACGTTGTAAATCTGTTAAGCTGTATTCTGTTCGATGTCTATTAAATATGTTACATGAGTAATTGCCGCCAATGTCATCAAGAATCATAAAACAGTCTTTTTGCTGAAACATGGCAGTCAACAAGGGAGCCATACCATTCAGAGCTGGAACCAATTAAAGGTGTCCTATGTGCATTGTGTAAATGTCTATAAGGCTGCCGTAATGATGGAGCAAAACTACGTTCCTGACGACATACCACACGGTCCTTATTCAACATGAAGCTTTTCCTTCTGATGGTTCTAGGTAAGTTTGCATTCCGTGTGTTATGCCACTGTGACTTTTCATACGGCTATTAAGGACATATCATCTCTACCCTTTATCAGCTGATTTCCATGTGCATGGTGCGAGAGTTAAACCAAACATGGGTGTGTACTGTGCTGCATTGTCCTATTGGTAGGAGACTAAGGGGATCGTGTGGTCAGACTCACTGACTACATGTCATCGTATCCCAATTACGTAGATTGATGTTCATGCGGTTGATCCCTGGATTGTCTGGTACAGATCCGAAAATTTACAGAGCGTTGTCGTATTGCAGGAATATTGCTGAGTGCGGCGTAAAACTAAACTCACTCACTCACCTACTCACTCACCCATTTGTTGGTGGTATCACATTGGGTTATCTATCAATGAACCAGAGCGATCATAAGGGTGGACAAAACATCCATCGATACCACAATAATCGATAATCTCTATGCCAGAAGAATACACACCGTTCAGAGCAAACCAACACTTGTATGTGGCGGCTAAGACATGATCGAGTGATCAGATTCACTTCCATGTGTGATGCATGTCATCGTAACGTAGATCGAAGCACATTCTGTCAATCACTGGAATGTCTGGTCCAGACCCGGTTAATGACAGACCGCCGCCATATTGCTGCAACATTGCTGGGAGCGGCGTTAAACAACAAACAAACAAGAAACGTACGAAAGCCATCGGTTAACCCACTTGTATGTTTCAGTTACTTTCTTCACTGGCTCAGTTGAGTGCTGGTCCAGGGATTATGGATGGTGAGTAGAACCGTCTTGTGTTTAGGGGTGGGGATAAAGAGAAATGGTGGTGCGTTCATACGATGTCTGTCTTTGAAAAGTTTGTTAATGCTTATACTGCCTGTTCAAATTGACAGTTCAAGTTCCCCAGCTTTTACTGAGTATTGTTCGAACAACATGTTGGGCGATTTTTATAAAAAACTGTTTCATATACGTATCGATTACACATAGAGTACACAGTTTGAGGATAGGTGTATCTGGGGAAGGTCGTTTACTTGTACATTGCCGCACATTTTCATGATCACACTTTGGAGTAAGACAAGGTATGTGTGCTGATGCAGGGTTGTTTGTTTTTCAGCATGGGTCAAAATTCCGTATGGTGACGACAGTCAAACATCATTGAATCAAAGTGTTAAGAAAACCAACAAAATAAAATGTCTCTAGGAATCACTAACACATTGATATGATACCGGGTTTTGTTAAAAGGGGAATATTAGTTTCAACCTACAATGGCAGTGGCACGCATAAAATGCTTTGTGTTATTGCAATTATTCCTTTTTTGTTCATGATTTTTCAAATCATAGATAATCTACAATACAATCAATCAAAACTACTTCGTTTACACTTTCAAAATGTTCCGTCTTTTTTCTGTGGTGGTGTTTGTTTGTCATGTTTTTGTTCAACGCATGACATATACCATTATGTGAAGGCGGTCTTTAAATATTTGAACCAGACAACCCACACAACTGACAACATGATCATTTTATCTACGCAGGTAGGGCGAGATGACATGCAGCAGTTTAGTCACTGATCCTGAAAAGCATGTGTTACTGAAAACTAGGATGGTGCAAGCTAGCTTCATCTTATAACATTGCATAGAGACCAAGAAGGGGTGATTTAGAATGTTACATATGAGCGAAGGAGCGGAGGCCAACTGAGAATATGTGTGCCAACAGTCCAGTAAAATTAGTGGAAAAAATCATTGAACCTCAAACAAATTGGTACAGAAATGGTTTTGTGTTTATATCATTTACAATAGTTATGTAAACAATAAATATAAATTCCTCCCTTGGATGTTGATGTTAAGTAGCTTTTTGGGGCAAAACTATGGAAAAGGGTATTTTTCCCCACAAAATTCTATCTGAAAATGAGTCAGAAAATGGTATAAAAGATTGTCCAGGACTTCTTTTGCCACATATTTTGTGCATTTTCAGTCAGTATTGATCAATGAAACATAGCGTACTTATCTTTGTGATGAAGCTCCATAATCGAAAAGATGTCTGTAAACTACCATTTGGATTGAGGGAGCATTTACATTTTGGGTATGTTTTACATTATTGTTAATTAATCATTTTTCTCTTTTCCTGTACCTGTAATAAATTATTGTGAAATTATTGGTGTGTAACGATCGGCCAAGCTGACTATTTAAGACGAAACATTGAAAATACATGTAGTACAGGATTTCGTGTCTACTGCAAAGGCTAGCACATTTCCGAGGTGACGCAATATTATGACCTCGGAAATGTGCTGGCTCAACATGACATCCTCGTGACCTCTTCGTGACCCCGCAAACGTGTTGGCCCCCGAGCGTGTTTGTTTAGCGTAACGATGGGGTCGGTAAATAATAATGGATCAAAGGGAGGATCTCATCCTCCTTATGACGTCACAAACATTGTGCTTTGTTGCCTAGTATTGAAATGTGATTTAAACTATTAATGTAATGTGATTTAAACTTTGACAAGTGAAAGTAGTTTAAGGTACTTATCGCCCCTTTATATATAAGTAACATAAATTACATTGCGGTAACGTAAATTACGTCAATAAATGATTACCGATGTTACTTTTCTGTGCACTATCATTTCAATTCTTTTGCTGTTAGGAAATGTAATTAGGCATCTAAATATTCCATTTGTTGAATGGATTTTAGAGGGTTATATACTTCTCATCAAAAGTTTGGACACACTAGTGTAAATACAGCCACTTACTCCAGGCAACTGTTTTCTATTAAATTTTGTAAAATATTCCATACTGTTTATAGGTACTGTTGACACATGAACTGATGTATTGTAAAACAAATTCGTAACGTTGAAAAGGTTATTGTCATGAGTTCAGAAAACAATAAAGTCAGTGTAAATTGGCGAATTCTTAACAAAACTATACACCACAACGCAGCTGTTCACATGCACGAAGAGAAGTATTATATTGAATGTTGAAATAAATTTCTAATTGATGAGATGTAAATTAACCAAGGTATGAAGGAGTTTCAGATAGAATCAATAGTTTGAGTTTTATTTGAAATTCTTGTGTTAAGGGTTGCAATAATCCATCGAACTTATTGATTAATTCATTTGTGTGCATTTACAAGTGTGGGTAAGTACATCGTTATCATAGCGTAAATTACTTCTTGACCCCGAGATATTCAGGCGTGACTATTTCCAGAATGGTCGATTTAATATGACAAAACGTTGTCATATCATTGATGTCACGTATATAACAATGTCAAATGGATTTCTTTTCAGATACAATGGTTAAAATTGATGCCCAAAAGCAACGTGTATAGAGAGAGACAGAAATGGGAGCAGCATATCTCAAGATGGAGACCGAGCTTTTATCGATAAAAGCGTTATAGTTGTGATGATTGACGATTTTGTGTCGGTTTCATAAAAAGATATGTTTTATAGACCGATTACTAGTTTTCTTGCTGAAATACATTTTGATTCTGTTATCAAAGTGGTTGTCATTAATAAAATTATATTAGCAGTAGTAACTTACGTTGCGGACGAATAACATAATTTTCCTGAACAACCAACAGAAATATTTGTACTATTGTCGATTGTTTGTCATCGACCAGCTTTACAGTTTCGCACTCGGCCAGAAAATTATCAACTGATGTTTCTATTTTTGGTTAGTGCTGTTGGTTAAATATTTTACTGATATCATTACACAGCTGAATAAGTAGTCCACAATGTTAATGACTTTGTGTATATATGTATTATATTTGAAGCAAATTAATTCACCTTCATAGTTCAATGGATCTGTGTACAATTTTGATCTACCAACTCCTGAGCGTGTCACGCAATTCAGTTGGAATAAAAAGATCGTAAGCATATAGTTTAACGTAAAATACAACACGGAATTGGTATTCATATATTTGTGGACACATATTGTGAAATCTGGACGTGCCTGAGTGTGATTATTTTGCAGAACATTAGTTCAGATATGGTAGTAACTGAAAAATGACCGTGTAGCGGATTTCATTGACTTTGTTTTTCACAGTAATAGACCCCCATGGTCGCGGTTTACTGAGAACAAGTGTACGTGTGTGTTAGTATCGGCGACACAGTGACGTTTACACATGCAAATGTGATCACGTGGACCCACCTATGACACGCCGATGGTACGTAGAACGTTCAAACGTTGCATGATCAATATGTTTTCTTCCTTAATGATTGCACGTGTATAATAAACTGATGCGTTTCTTTTTACAACCTAGTCTGGATGATAATGCTAAATGTCATATAGCACCCCCTTGTCATTGCCTCGCCGAGGTCACGTGCTTCATGATTGCACAATGTTGTGTTTTGGAGTTTATTTGTTTGCATGATTCTTACAACAGAATATATGTCTTCTTACAGCCGAGTCTGGATTACAATGGTAATTATCTTACCTTCATGTAAAATACTTTAATTTCATAGGTCAATGACGCTTTAACAAGTTTCCGTGTCAACCATCCCAGGAGGGTGACAACTGGAAATAATATTACTTGCTGCCACGGTAACCGCTAAGCTCTCCGCCGCGAAGCTGAAGCGCTAACAATCGTATGACGTCGTAATATGACGCATGCCGTGCCCGGAGTTCGAAAACCGTTCGATCAGCTGTTTTGTGTTCACTTTGTACAGATTTATTTTACCGACTTTCACTGCTTTATTTAAGCTATTTTATACATTTAGTGGTTTGCACGCTCAACTTAAACATAATTAATCATTTTTATAGCAGTTTTAAGCTTGTCAGAATATGTTTCACTGATTTTAAAAATCCGGTCGCTGAGGCAGACGCCATTTTGTTTACATGTCATATAGTCCGTCGGGATCTTTAACATAAAATATAATGTTGTTTTGTACATTTAACATGGCGGTAAGATAAATACGTTGTATGCTTCTCCCACGGATGACACTGCTACAAAAGGCGTACATCAAACCGTATTACCCTCGAGAGAAGCATACAACTTATAATGTTCCATGGCACATGTTTTCACTCCTTTTTGTTCCAAAATGCCTTGCTACAGGAATCAATTGATTTCATTGTATGGTCGAGGAGGTTCGCCTCAAAACAAATCAAAGCTGCTGTTGAACTGATTCCAGATGTCCGACCTATATATACCACACATGTGATGTGGTGTGTGCATGATAACTGGATATCGGTAGGTCAGGAGTGACCCATCTGTCTCCTGCCTCTACATATGAACAACGTTCTGCATTAACTCAGAAGTATGAAGATAACGTGAAATCAGGGCTGTAACAAAGAGTAGCTTGGCTTTTTCAGTCAGTATATGCTCCATGTAAGGAATTATTGGATCTGAATACCTTAACACAATATACACTCAACAGTATCCTCTGAGAGATGGATTGCCTGAACTCGCATGGTGTGTGAACTAGCCAGGTCGAACTGAAGAGTCCAGTTTCCTTTCGAGCGCATGCAACAGAGAGAGAGAGAGAGAGAGAGAGGGGAGGGGAGAGAGTGAGAGAGAGAGAGTGAGATAAAGACAGAAAGATAGAGACAGAGAGACAGAGAGAGAGGGTGAGAGAGAGCAGGAGAGAGAGAGACAGTGGAGAGAGACAACGGAGAGAGAGAGACAAAGATAGAGAGACGGAGGGAGAGAGACACACATATAGAGAGAGGGAGAGAGAGAGACAGACACAGAAAGAGAGAGAGAGACATATTTGAGATACCCATTCATACATTTTAAAGTGAATTATATCGTTGTCGTTATATCATGAACATCAAACGAAAGCCCGGGCCCATAATTGAAGTCTTCAAGAATCATCCAGGTCACAACCAGAAGGATTCGAACTGATCACAGTCGCGAGCAGTCACAATGGCGCCACCTTTTGAATCATGAAGGACCTTCATGACCTATGGCAGCTCTATCACATTACCTGTCATTAAACCAGTCAAACGACATTCATTCGCCCCATTTTATTCGAACAATTCAGCTGTCGATAATAGTGTGCGTTCCCTTTCAGACACAGTAGATATAAGGAGCATGTCAGTTGATGAGATCACATTGCCTGTCGTTAGCGTGGTACACACGTGGACTGCACAACATATAAAAATAAATACGTTGGCTTTAAACAATACCCAACCGTGACTATCCCTCTGATTCCATACAGTGGAAATGGCGAAAATAGCCTCCAAAATTATATACCCACGACAAGGACAAGCATGTCCTGCACTAAAGGTAGTACCCGCTAGCCAGAGTTGTAGTTTTGCTGGACGCCAAGTGACCGATTGAACCAAAATGCAATAGCACGAAAGTGCATTTAATGAGTTTAGAAATAAAAAAACAACTGATTTGCCAAGTATAAGTGTACCGATCACCAGTTCTACTTGGAGATAACTGCACTTTGCTTCTTACGCATGTGATGTCAAGGCTGCTCATTAACATGTGACGCTGATAGCCCTGACAGGATGCTTTGTTTGTTTGCACGTGACATGTTGTACTTTGTGCAGGGGGTGTTTCCCTCAGTCGGGTATATTAGGTCTGAAAGTTCTGGGCTGACGGAGAGGTGTGGAACATCCATCCAGAACCGTCTCTTGTCTTCTGCGACCAACTGTGGCTGTCAGCGAGTGGAGCAGTGGACAGGTAGGGCTCAACTGCACTTTATTTCCTATTGCCACTTTATTTGTTTAAGATCGGGGTAAGAATTGGTCTTCAGCAACCCATGTGTGTCGTAGGAGGCAAACTAACGGGATTGGATGGTCAGGCTCATTGACTTCACACATGTCATCGTATCCCTATTGTTTATGCTGTTGATCAATAGATTGTCTAGTTCAGGCGCGATTATTTCAAGACCGCCACCGTACAGATGGACTATTGCTGAGTGCGGCGTTACAAAACCAACCAACCAATTAATCCTGGCCGTATTGACTTTGAAATTATCAGACATTTTTTCGATGCATTTTCCAGGACACATTTCTACGAAATAATTCCATGCACTTTGAAATGTTTCAGGCGGCTCCTTTGAGAAAATATTGAATGTTGATTTCTATATTGAATCAATACAAATAGCCAGTTCACCTTTCACATTTTCTTTTCTCATTTGAGATAACAGGATATATCGATATCATGAATCCGTTAATTCTTCTTATTCAGGTGATGAAGATCTCGTCTATGTTAACGTAGACATAATGGAAGACCGGTACAAAAAAGGAACTTGCTAAAAGATGGAGAGATAGCCGACTTGCGCTCTGTAAGTTTTTCAAGTTACAGCACAATCCTGGCTATTTATCAAGGGAGAACTGCCCTTTAGTTGGAACAAACATAATATTGTGATAATTTGTCAGCAAAATGTATTACTTTTATAATTTTTCAAAATGGTATTGAATACTAAAATGCAATTTTCAATTATTTCGCAATTGTGTTTCAACATTCGTAAGGTGCCCCATGTATGTGTATGTGTATGTGTATTTTACCAGTCGTTCACGTTTCTTTCCAGTCAGTGCAGAGACTTCAGGAAAAAAATCAACAAAAGTCCCTGGACCAGGCTGACCTGACGGAGACAATTAAGAAGGAAAGAGACGAACACAGGTCACAGATAGAAAAGCAGAATGAGGCAGCTGAAGCCCGTAAGTTGACATTTATGTAATATATCAGAGAAAATACATGTGGTGAAAAGGTTATGTTGGTGAAAATAACAACTGAATATTTAATCCTTTGCCTATGAACGTTTTGTTTTGTGTATCAACCAAACATCGAGACCGAAGATCGATTCCAAATTTCGATCTTCACGGGCACTGTGTTGTTGCTCTGGCAGCATGGTATAGATTCCGTACCATTAACAAAATGTGACAGTCTGGTGGACAACCGAATCGTCATGAGTGTTATCCTCTAAAGATATCGTATACTGACGAGACTGTATTGTGTTTCGACTACCATTTTCGTCTTTCGTTTTGCGCCGTTCCTGTTTGCAACATTGTACTTTGAGATTCACAACTGCCAGTGCCCATTTGCCACAAGCTGCATGGGAAGTCTGTGCTCCACATGCACTAGGCTGGGCTTGGGGGTTTGAATCAAACATGGTTATGGTGTGTTTCAGAACCCTTGTTTTTCGTTGTTTGTGAAAAGGTTTCCATTTCACTCAAACACAACGAATATTGAATCAGTTGCTTCACTGCAAGTTCTAACATGTCGTTTAAAGTGCCCATTAAGCACACAAAAGGTTGCATTTACCTGACAGTATGAATGACCTCACCACGTTTAAGTTCTTTATAACTATAAAATGTTAGGGCATTCCCATACTTTTGGTTGTAGTATATATACCATACCGACTGTGAAACAATTTATTAATGCCCTGAATGGTGATCCTTTGCCTTCCCATTTCAGTGAAGATGCAGTTGTCAAACTTAAACAAGGACTTGCAGCACACTCGAGCAAAATGTGAGGACGTTAGAAAAGGTGGGAATTTAATCTTATATGGCTATTCATCAAAGAGAGAACTTTCCTTTAGTTGCAACAAACTGAATATTGTGGAATTTGTCCTGCAAACAAGTAGTACATTACTAATATAATAAAATAGCAGTGAATACTAAAATTGCATTTTCAACAACCACAAGAAGTGTTTTCTTGAATATTCATAAAATGTGCAAACTAGGTGCATGTATGAAGTTCTTGTGTTTCGTGCAGAGACTTCAGGAGCAGATTAAAGCAAACGTCCCTGGACCAGGCTGAACTGGAGGAGACAATTAAGAAGGAAAGAGAATAACACAGGTCACAGACAGAAAAGCAGAATGAGGGAACTGAAGCCTGTAAGTTGATATTCATATAATATATCAGAGAAAATACATGTGACGTAAATGTTTTTAGTGAAATAACAGCAACATATTTAGTCCTTTGCCTATCGAAGGTAGTTTTGGTGTATCAACCAATCAGCAAACCGGCTACTCGCCTCTTATGACAAGCGTCGGTTGCTGATGGTCAATTGTAACTCGGATCTTCGCGGTCACCGTGTTGTTGCTCTAGCAGCAGGTTATCGATTCCGTAGCATTAACCAACTGTGACTGCCTCGTGGACAACCGACTCGTCATGAGTGTTGCCCTCCTGGAGGTATGGTATACTGAAGAATCTGTATTGTGTTTCGATCACCATTTTCATCTTTTGTTTTGCGCCATTCCTGCAACATTTCACTTTGAGGCCTTGACAGCTGAAACACAGTGTGTTTATGAACAGACTGTTCAAGTTTCATGCCCATGAGTTAGTTATTGAGTTGAGTTCTACACCGCTTTTAGCAATATTAATCCAGCAATATCGCGGTGTGGACACCAGAAATGGGCTTCTCACATTGTACCCATATATGGGGAATCAGGCCTCCTTCTGCAGTTTTAACATGAACGGGCCAACTCCGAATCAGGACCTTCACAAGGAGGAGATGCTTTCCTATGTAATGAAACATTGATTATTTATTTTATTGAAGGTATTTACGTTTTCTGTTAGAAATGAAGTATGGTATAACTTGCAAGATGACTTTACATATATGTTTTGATTATCGTAGATGTACAATGACTGGTAAAAATGGGTTGTCTATGAAAATGAAATATATTGTATCATATACCAGTTTAACTGTGAAACAAAATATCAATGTCCTGAATGATTATCCTTGGCCTTTCCCATTTCAGTGAAGATGCAGTTGTCAAACTTAAACAAGGACTTGCAGAACAGTCGGGCAAGATGTGAGACGTTAGAAAAGGTGGGAATTTAATCTTTTATTATGTGTATTTTTACACTTTTACAACAGCAACAACTTAACTGATATTAGAATTAACTTCTAGAACTAAAATGCATTACAACACATGTGATAATTCCTTGACAGGTGTATATGATGCAGTGATAATTGTCGTTACAGGGACTACGAGACGAACAGGAGGCATACGATGCTCTAGTGGGTGCTCCAAGGTCACAGTCTCCAGACAGGATGGACAATACAGAGCAAGTCCAACATGCAGGGAAAATGGGTGAAGGGACAGCCTTTCTTATAACTAAAATAGTTACAAACACAATGACATCCTAAAGAATAATGCAAGCTTGAGTAAGTTACCCTATATCTGTTCGATTTATTTTTTATCCCTGTGTGTTACTTTTCTGCCACCAGGTTCTGGGGAGAGAATGTGCCAATTTTCAACTCAGTCATGTTGTGATGAGAGTCAGCTTCGTCTTCTTCCATGCCTTAATCACCAAGCTACACAGGCGGATGAGAACTGCATACACTGTCCTTCCTGTGGCCTTGACTTCACCACGGAGAAGACAACGGTAGATCATGTCAGGCGCAATGAAGCTGCCTATAAAGTCAACGTTGATGGTGAGATGAAATGCAGCTACATCGATGAGGATCATGATGCAAAGGCAGTGGTGTACTGCCACGAATGTGATGACAAGCTCTGCTCTGACTGCCATAAACTCCACGACACGCCGAAACGGAATCGAAATCACAGAGTGAGTGAGATTGACCAGTCAACGAATATCCCTATGACGCAGTGGCTGAAGGAGGCTATTTGCAGAGACCACCCTGACAACAAACTGCAGCTGTATGACCACACATGTAAGAAGGCAGTCTGTCTTATATGTGTGCATGGGGCCCACAAAGATCACCAGAATGAAGACCTGTATCAGGCCTATGACGTAGCGAAGGGTCAGCTGGAGGAACAAGTGAAGAAACAGCAACTTAAATTGGAAGATGTCACTGGCAGGATGAAAACTGTCACAAGCCACCAAACTGAACTGCGAACTACACAAAGAAGACTGGAACAAGTTGCGACTACAGTTTGCAAAGGTGTTGCTGCAAAGTTGCTTCATCGACAGAGACAACTCATGGAGGAAATTCAAGTGAGTCTACAGTCCCCATACAGAATGGTTCAAGAGAAACTTGACGCTTTACATGGCGTCCATACTTCTATAGTATCAGCGATAGCCTACACCAAGAGAACACTTGAATCTACAAGACGAGATGAGCTGATTACTCTCACAGATGTACTGCAGACGAAATGTGATGAAAATCTGAAGATGAAGCTTCCAGAAGATGACACGCGAGCCACGAGAATCCTTCTTACCTTTCAAGGCCAGAGAGCCCTGGAGGAACTTATCAACACATTTGGTGGTCTCACCTTCAGTCTCAACATGGATCATATTCCAGATTCTCAGCCTACTTCACAAGGTGAATATATATAATGACATATTACATTTAGATAATACTCACAGGAATGGACCAGTTTGACTAACTGAATTGAGTCTTTACTTTTATGACTCATCCAATTTGAATAGCTTTATTTAAAACAGAGTGCCTGTTAATCTGTAGTAACGGAACACGTATCCAAAGAATATATTTCGTTTAATTGGTTCAGTTGTTAATATACTTTGTAAATAGAAAGTTAACTGCCAATGACAAATTTAATAGATCAGGTCTGTATTTTTTTCAGAGTTGATGACGATGACATTGAGAGAACGACAAGCCAACGAGGTAATATGTTGTTTGCAAAACGAAACCTTATACTATTTGTATTTGACTTTATATTAATAATGATAATCATAAGTACATTCTATATAGGTACATGGATTGGTTCTCATCAGGAAACGTCAACCCAACTTCTATACTGCATCTTGTAATGTCATGTGAAAGTAAATATAGTCTCTATATATACTCAAACATATATGTGCGTGCGTGTGTTTTTATTTAGACAAACAAAATGTCAGACGGTAGAAAACGTGGGAATTTGATCATATATAATGGCTATTTATCAAGATAGAACTTCCCCTTAGCTGCAACAAATTAAATATTATGTGAACTTGTCCTGAAAGCATATCTTACTTTTATAATATATTAAAATGAAGCAGAAGTGTTTTTTCGTGAATATTCATCAAATGTTCCAACTAGGTGCATGTATGAAGTTCATGTGTTTCGTACAGGAGACAATTAAGAAGGAAAGAGAGGAACACAGGTCACAGACAGAAAAGCAGAAATGAGGCAGCTGAAGCTTGTAAGTTGACATTTATATAATATACCAGAGAAAATACATGTGGAGTAAATGTTATTTTTGTAAGAATAAGAACTGAATATTTAGTCCTTTCCCTATTAATGTTTTGTTCTCGGATCTTCATGGGCACTGTGTTGTTGTTTTTATCAATAAATGATAACCTTTCACAGTTATTTACAAAGTTTTTATGAGCAACCCCATGCGAACAAATGTATTAGGCATCAGGATCTTCTTCGTGCTACACTTCCTGTTAAATCTAGTTGAGGAATAGTTTAACTTGCAAGTTTATCTACCTATGTTGTCACTATTAATTGTGTTAAATGCACTATGGCTGGTAAACAATGTGCTGACTATGACAATCGATCATATTAAATCATATATATATATACTGGACAAAATAACTTAGGGACATTGGTATTTTTATCATTGATATTTTATCAGTGTGTCAATTAATAAATAGATCATTGTTCATAATTTCAAAATTTACATATATCCCTAACTAGTTTTGTCCAGTATATTTCCAATAAACTGTGAAATATGGTATCAATGTCCTGAATGGGGATCCTGGCTTTTCTCGTTTTAGTGAAGATGCAGTTGTCAAAGTTAAACAAGGATTTGCAGCACAGTCAAGCAAAATGTGAGGAGACAGAAAAGGTAGGAATATAATCTCTGATATATTGAAAGTGATAAATTACACAACTTCTTAACTTAAGGGCATTACAATATAATCAATACAGGATGTGGCTATATGATGGAATGGTGATTGCAGTACGAGTACCCCATGGGACTCGGAACACGTACCGCTGTCAGTCATTCTTCAATATGCTTCACTCGGTCGCCTCGAGGACCAAAAACTTTCTGACTGCTCTGAACTACAGGTTATCCATTTCTGCCGTTTCAGTATGGGTACATGCGATTAGATGGATGGATAGATGGATGCACACACACACACACAAACACATATTGTGCTCAACTGCTGATCTGTTTAATGCAAGTGTTGTTGTTTCAGATGCATGACGGGCGGTGGCAACAGCTTCAACAGATGATACAGCGCATCCCAGGTACATTGCGACACCATGATGGAGGATGTGCAAACTTTCTAAACTAAATAACAAAACAACTTTCAAACCTTACAGTAGATAATACCCCAATACTGTCATCATAAATAGCCGAAAACGTAAATATGCTATCTGCCGACTTAATGCATCGTTATAACGACGTATTCTTCTGTGTATCAACAACCAGCTTCTTATATTAAATGCAATATTGTTTATTTGTGAGCAGGACTCCAAGGATCAGACAGCAGAAATGCAAGATCACAGAAACCCGAACTGCTGACATCAGAACAAGCCTATGGTATTGTCGCAAATGTACGTCCAATATTCCTGTGAGGATTCTGGGTTACAACAGGTCTTCAGAAGACACTTCTTGTCAACTAGTCTTGTTGACGTATCGGTGGATTGAGAGGTCAATCCACCATTTACACTGAGTGCAAGTTCTGTAACATGAATGTATCTAGGTCATAACTCCAAATCTCAGTCACAAGTATTTTCGCCTTGACCTGGATAAACACACAAATACCATCAATAATATCTGAATATGTGTTCTCTGAATTTAAATTTAATTTTAAAGCAGTTTTTATGCATTAATATGTTACACCTTTATTTTTAGCTCATAATCGGAGGATTCATCCGCGGTGAGACAATTCCACGTGGTATTACCGTGAAAGGTATGTACACTCCGATGTATTTTCGGTCTTGTGTGAGTCAAGGGTTCTACCAGTAGGGCATGACATTTCTCTCTGTTCTCAAACACCGGGTATCCTCACTGATTGTTATCAGTCCGTTCATTAAGTTTCTCTGCTATTTTGTCTTGAGGATCCAATGAAATCTCTTGTTATTCATAAATAGCGTTTTCAACAACTGCATGCTTGAAGTGTTTAGGTCATTTAAATTGCCGATTCTCACCTGTATTACACTGTTGTTGATGTTGTTGTTGTTGTTGACGTTAAAACAATCATCTGTGATGAGCATCAACTTGTGACACGATGATCGAGGGAAAACAAAGCGCCTTTGAGCAGTTTAACTGGATATTGGCGCTATACAAATGTATGTATGTATATGTATGTATGTATGTATGTATGTATGTATGTATGTATGTATGTATGTATGTATGTGTGTGTGTGTGTGTGTATGTGTGTGCGTGCGTGTGTGTGTGCGTGCGTGCATGGATGTATATGTGTGTGTGTGTGTGTGTGTGTGTGTGTGTGTGTGTGTGTGTATGTATGTGTGTATGTATGTATGTATATGGTTCAACCACAACCCATTGACGAGGTATCATGTAACAAATATTTCACACCTTATCTTTGTTCAGAAACAAATGTACCATCGTGATGTTTTAACCTCTTCTTTAACAGGCTATGTTACAATGCACGCCATAAGAGAGGACCGCAGTGCTGTCATCTGTAAGTAAATCTTGATCATTCTGAGTACGCCATGAAACACAGACCTCTGATGGAGGAGAGTGTAACTTTGCTCAGCAGACATAATTTGCTCTGAGGTTTTTCATGAAATAGTGAGTGAGTTTTGTTTTCCGCCACTTTTACCAATATTCCAGCAATATCACGGCACGGGACACCAGGAATGGACTTCACACATTGTGCCCATATGGGGAATCGAACCCGGGTCTTCGGCGTGACGATGGAACGCTTTAACCACTAGGCTACCTCACCGCCCCTTTCATAAAATAAGTAACTTGCTCGGCAAAAACACATATCCGATATCACATTTTGTATCCTAATAATAAATATCACTAAAATATTTTGGGGCGTCATTGGCTACACACTGAATAAAGGTCAATAACAAGGCTGGCCCTCACACAATGCAAAGTAACAAAATCCGATGAAGTCAGGAGAAATGACTATCTTTTAATGACTTCCGTTGTAATTATACAATGTAGAACAATGTTGACATCTGTGATACCGTTATTTGTGATAGGATTATAACCACGCTATTTCAGACATTTTGAAATAATAACTTTAGACTCTACGCCAGATAGATTTGTTGTGGATGTGCAGTTTTCACTCACTATTGGATATAGCCTTTACGTCACTGACACTCCACGCGTTTTACGAAATATCAGCGAGCCATCCTACTATAGTTCTTGACGACCCGGATCAGAAACTGGTTTCCAGCAACTCATGGTTTAGAGGTCGCAAGAAGGATCGAGTTGTCCGGCCACCTGTCTTGGTCGATTTCGTTGCATCCAGTTTCGGAAATCGATTCTCATGATTGTTTGGTTTCAGGTTCAATTATTTACAGACCTCTGCCATATGCCTGTATGTCATTGCTGAGTGCAGCGATAAACAACAAACACTACTAAACCATCACCACAGGTCAATGGCAACGTGTTGAACGTAACTAGTAATGAAGTCATCGATATTCCTTCTACACCAAACTATGAGATCCAAGTTAACTTACAAACTCATGAGCTTTGACAAATTACTATAAGTTAGTCAGCGAGTCAAACTGCTGCCCATGGGGAATCAATCCCAGGCCTTCACACTGACGGGGACACGATTTACGCACTCACTAAAGTACTGTCGGAAATTTAAAAAACTCTTTTTTCGCATTTATATCTACAATTTATGTAGTTATTATGTGAAAGTGTGAAATATATGTTAAACTAAGTTCGGCCTAACTACAGTCTCAGTGGTAGGGCGATAGGAAGCGTAGAAAAAGGATTTTACTGAGGGAGTTTAGTGCAGAAATGAGAAATCCGCATTGTTTCAAAGTCAAAGCTATTTATGTGAAACAGACCATGACTTTATGCAAATTAGTGTGCGATGATATTGTATTACAAAGGACACTTTTAAATACCCATTTACAAATTAAACTTAGTTTCATTATAAACAATAGCTGGCGTAAACAATAATAACTTTAATGCTGAAACTATTAAGGATGTAGCTGCCATGGAGTCTCACTATCACTATAAAAAGAAACAGGTAGGAGGGTCGTCTCAAACGGTGTGTCAGGACGGTTGTCACAGACGGGGGTTGGGGTCGGATATAGAGATATCAGCTGAAAATACGATAATCCTTTAGGGGAAATAACCTGGGGAAGCAAACGGCATGTCATAACAATTTACAAATAATATTCAGTCCTGTCGATCACCGGGTGGTCATGCCACCTATACATTTCGAGACATTTAATACGATGGCTGATTAAAGCTTTTCTATGGGTATCATACTCTTTTATATATCTCAACATAAACTTTATGAAAGAAAGACACGTAAGATATAATCAATAGATGAGACATATTCAACATGAGAAAGCATAAAACATCTTTGAGATGACCCCTTGTGCCCGAAGGCAGCACATGCATTTCATTCCAGGTGAGTCGACGGTCCGTCGTCATACCTTGCTGAGCGACCTAATTGCTATCTATAGTCTGATCTATTGTTTTCAGCAGCTATTGATAAGTTTTACCCGATTTTACGAATAAACATGCTTTTCTGGATATCCTATTACGCATTCCACCGGAGGTCCAGTTTTAGCCGATGTTGGTTATTTCGACATATGTTGTTTGCAATAGTGTAAATTTTAGGGATACTGAGTGACAGGCTAAAACAGTTTGTTTTTTCTATTTCCTCCTGTACTTTAAATAGTCTACACCTCCTCCCCACACCTTAGAATGATCGATCTTCAGTAACCCATGCTAGGAAGCGACTATCGGGACGGATGGCCAGGTTCGCTGACTTGGTTCACACATGTCGTCGTATCCCAATTGTGCAGATCGATGCTCTTGTTGTTGATCACTTGATTGTCTGGTCACGAATCTATTATTTACAGTCCGCCAATAGTTGGAATATTGATGAGTGCGGCGTATGTATGTGCATCACTTGTAAAACCTCTTTTAATCACTGCGTTATTTTCAAAACAGTAGTTTCAATGGTGTAAAGAAGGAGAGAATGTGACAAAAGATATTTTATTATATTCCGTTTTAAGAGAACTGCAGAACCAGTAAATAAGTTGGAAATGCCCAATACTGACCTTGTCTGAAATTGTTTCACTGCAGTTGTAACGTACAAACGCCCCCCAAATAGCTCATTTTATATAGACTGTGTTCTTCGGTCAGCAGGGTAAAATATTTATATGTACGTTTCCGCGGCTTTATTATATATTGTATTGATTTATTATTATGCTGCAGTATTTTAGTGAGCGCATTAGAAACAGTAATTGTATTAGATCATTTGTTTAATTAAATCGTTTGTAGTCCGTGTCATTCACAAATACGTATCTCAATCAACACATACGACCGGACAATTACCTTCCCACACAGCGAGTGTCATGAAACTGTGTTCAGTGATTGAAGCGGACGTAGAAGTTATCGGTTCACGTTCTGTCTGTTGAACACTCAAATGTAAAGATATCGCCATACAGCAATACTATCTGTCTCACTCTTTACTATTTTGTGTGATATGAATTTAGAATACCTATAGTGATAGTTTTATAGTGAAATAATGTTAACATATTGCCGTAATTAGGCAGCAGAAGTGTCTATTTCTGACCGCCGTCACAACAAAACTAGCTGGGTGAAAAAGTATTTAAACCAGTGTTTATTTGTTTACCAATGCATGTAGAAATGTATGACAAACAATTTAAATACCCATCTTGATAGTATCATATCATTATTATTACTATCTAGGGCACGAGTATCGTTGTATTTACAGACGGACGAAAATGGCAGCCGATCATTTAGTGCGCTGTTTTCGAATAAGTGACACGGGACAAACAATACAATGATATATTGTAGGAAATACAGTTGCTAAACTCTAAAAATAACAATTGTATATTTCCAGGTCCTAAACTCCAACTGGACGCTGGTCGAGCCAACACACGCTGCTGCCATGTTACTACAGACGGTGAGCTAGTCAACTCGCCGCCCGCCACAAAACACAGGGGCCGTGGCAGACTACAGGAATTGTACGGCACGTGTAGCTCCACCCCATCCCCCTTCCTCCATCCCCTCTAGTGTCACCCCTGTCCCCCCACACAACACGATACTGGGAGGCCAACACCAGGGTGGGTGTGATGGGTGGAGTGTGGGGTCCTGTCCTGGAGCTGGGTGTGGTGGAGGAGAGCCAGGTAGACAGTGATGAGTGTGTGTTTGTGACCAGCTCCGCTCCTGGTGTGTCAGTGTATGGAGATGTGACACACACAGGCGGAGTCTCTGTACCAGGGTGTATCTGGCGTGGGTGAGGGGAAGTGTTACAGAAACAAAATGTCTGTCACACACGGCACACAGGCCACCCTCCACTATGGCGTTGTGTTGGATGTCGGGAGGGTAGAATAGGATTTATTGACGTAGACAGGTCGGTTGTTTTAGAGAAAGTTGATGTGGAGTTCAGGGAGGATCTTCTCCCTGTGTTTGCTGTCCATCCGGAGAGTGAGTGCAGAGTAAACATGAAGGTGGTCAGTGGGGAGGAGATCCTCATGTCTGACATCAAGAAATCACTCATTAATGAAGTCCTGGCCTAAGAAATAAACTACACATGACCCAGTGTAAACTTGTAAATATCACACATCAACTTTATCAAACAAATTCAATACAACAGGACTGAAAGAAGCGGACATAGAAGTTACCTGTTGTTCATGTGTTGTATGTTGTGTACAACAATGTGACAAGGTTAGCTAAATATGTCGGTTTTCTACAGGACAGTTTTCATTTGTGTACAAGCAGCATTTTACATCCACACAAGAGTATTGTTTTGATTATTATTATGTAATAACTGACCAGTTTATGAAACATTTCCCACCTTTCTGGGACATATCACAACTAACAACTGAAAACAAAAACTGTTTCAAATCATGAATATGTTGACATATTTCGTTTCCACTCTGTAAAAAAAATATTTTAAATACCCATATGTAGAGGGTAGAAATTAAAACACAATATTTGTAGCTGTAAAATAGACATGTTGATATAAGTTCAGTTCGACAATGAAAGCGATTGAAGCGGACATATAATGTCCAAATGTTGCATCGTACTTGTTTACAGAACGGAAATTTTGTTACTGAATAGGTTTTTTCTAATCAGTCCTGTTGTGTGTGGAAAGGATTTTGGTTCCCGCAAAGGGTTGGTTTTGTGGGGTTTCTTAGTCAATATATTTGAAAGATAATACAGTATTTTGGGCGTTTGCGTATAAAAATTCAAAATGTGCAACATTATAGCCCGTTACGGAGCTGAATACAATGGTTTCCCATGAAGATTTAAATGAGTTATTGAAAGTTGAGTGTGAGTTACTGTCGTGAAGCACTGGGTCTGTCTCTTACGGTGGGGTGGGCAGATATGGGGGTCAGGGGCGGATATGTACAGCTTTTTGTAGAAGGGGCTGCACACTGGTGAGAAATGGAAGGGGTGGGGGTTGCACACTTCATTTTCACCCGTTTTCACGAGAGTTTTTATGGTCATTTAATACACTTTCAGGACACAAGAGGGGGTCGCAACCCTGCACACACACACCCATCCCCCAACCACCCACCCCCTCTGGATCCCCCTATGTGGATGTGCCACGAGCTTTAAGCCAATTCTAATGCCAGGCTGTATGATTACACAATCTATATTTGTGGCCAGTTTCTGTATCCAAATTCTGCCTTTATCACCATGGCATAACTTGATATTCAATAACTACAGCCAACAACCCGCTATGTTGAACTCAGATCTGTCTTAGTAATTTACAAGGCATACCCAGTGGGGTAAATCATCACCAAATTTCCGCTGTTGAGAACTACTTGTATTTAAGTGGTATGTCAAGTCGACAGGTCAAATGTTATTACATGTTATTAAATGTATGTAATACTACATACATCAGTGCCAATACTTTATATTTTTCTTTATATTTTTCTATGAATTATCAATTTTGTTTATGCAATGTGACCCCAAACTACGTTGCTTTTATATAAATCTGTCGAGAGGTTGAATGACTAATCTTTCAAGGACTAGTGTGCATCTTTAGACTCTGAATAGCTGTCATTTATAAATCTCAAAAATATTTGTTGACCTGTGAAATATATCATCCATTTAACATAGGTTTTCATTATAAACGGTTAACAATGGTTGGGGTGTCAGTAATAATCTAGAATAATTTTACAGAAAAATCATTACAATCTTGCCTCTCACATTGATGCAGTTGTTTTATGTAAACACCACGAAGCTGCCCATGTTGTGCATCGTGTAACCAGAATTGGTTAAAGAAACTGTAAACATTGGCAGATGTATTCTCTTAATCGGCCGCAGTATATCTCCAGATAATTGCACCTTGTGTAACATCCCTCAAGATTGTTGCAGTGATATAACTCTCACTTATCTGCTCTGCACTGTGACACTGCTCCAGCCTATCTGAAGGTCCTCCTCACTCCCTATCTCCCTGCCCGTAGACTCCGCTCATCTGATCAACTCCAGCTCTGTGTACCCTTCACGGGGACAAAGTTAGCTAGCCAGGCTTTTTCTGTTGTGGCTCCAACTCTGTGGAACAGCCTCCCAACATCTCTCAAATCTGCGGACTCTGTTGAATCATATCCTAATGCTATGAATAAAATACAGATGGATATATCAATTTGTGTTCATATCTTTTTATGTATACTCTTGAAAACGAGTGGAAGTATCAATGTTAAGGCCCCTTTACAATTATTTCGAATTGACAGGAATCTAGGAGAATCAGCCAGAAAATAATATTTCCAAAATTCGAACAGCATTCGGGAGAGAATGTCAAAATAAACAATTTGGTATGAATGTCGTGTTACTGGTGACTCCCAAAAGCTATCTAACGTTTCAGCGACAGGTGGTCACATATTAATGCGATTCGGTGGTGTTCTGATGACGTCAGGGCTCTTTTGAAGAGCATTCGGGACGTCCTGACTGTATTCGAGGTGTATTCCAGGTGTATTCAATGTGCATTCGAGCTGTATTCCATCTGAAGTCGATATATTTTGATAAATTTGAACAATAATTCACCAGAATTCCAGCCGCATTCAAGATACAACATTCCGACATCCCAGGCGCATTTTGGACATTCTGACAGGATTTGAAGTGGCTTGCCTTTTCCATTATCAACCGAATACGTTAAAAATGCTTAGAATATAGTAAGAGTAGTTAGAATGCAATTAGAATGCACTTCAAATACCGTTCGATACTGAGAGTGAGGATTCGAATCAAGCCGAAACATGAGTCTCATTAACCATTTCAGACAATGACCTACTTTTCAGCCGATCCGACTTTTCTCGTGTGAAAGTGAAAAGAGACACTACAAACAACTATGGTTACACTAAATTCCAATTCCTTGTTTCATAAGAAAGTGGTATTTAAAAGTGAGTTTTAGTTTTAAAAGTTTCAAAAAAATTGTATTTCTATATTTTAAGTCGAGGTTTAGGGAGCATGTCGTTTACTTAGACGACACAGACTGCCACTGTTTGAGGAGGTCGTACAATGATTCATCTGGCTCACTGGTTACACCTGTTTTGTGTCCTTATCGCTTATTACGTGCATCCTCAGTAAAGTACAATACGACTGATATAATACCAAGACCGTAAAGACAGCCAAACAGTTCTAGCTGCCGAGCCTCGTTTTGAGATTTCCACGATTTCCAGATTTCCGTTTGTCGGAGCACGCTGTACGACAGAGCACGTTGCACGACGTGTTTGCAAGGATTAGAAGGAGCGTAGTGTTGCAATATACAAGTGATTAGATGTATCAAATAATACGGATTAACATATCCAGTTGAATGAGTTGGTCTCAAAATTCTGGACTGGTTATTGTACTATGTTGCGCAATAGGACGGAACCCAGTCAGCAGAAAACGACACTGCTGTGTAATGAATGTTTTGACTTGTCCAGATTAGTCTCAACCTAATTTCAGTTCTAGAATATATACCTTACTGGGAAAATGTAATCCAAAATCTAATACAAGTAAATAAGGTTTGTGTTTGTAAATGCTTTACACCAAAACACATCAGATAGTTGTCACATGCAACAAGCAGTTCCTTCACAAACGTGCGTTGGGTGTCATTCCTGATTGTAATACCTTCGAAAAGGTCGATTTATGACCCTTTATATCTGTTCATCCTTTTAGCTGTGAATATAATTGTGCTTTAAGACAAGGAACAATTATTAGAAGCTAACATATTGCTTGTAGATTACTCTGAGAGACTGGTTTCGAATCTCGGATTGCTCAGTCTACAGTACACACGTACATACATGACCAGACAATCCAGTGCTCAACAACATGAGCATCGATCTACACACTTGGGATACGATGACATGTGTCAACCAAGAATCAGCGAGCCTGACCACCCGACGCAGTTAGTTGCTGAAGACCATTTTAAACCCGAATCTTCACCGGTCTATGTTTAGTCCGTCTGGCAAATGTGGTGTCTAAAATTGGTAGTTTATTACCTCTTTCTTCAAAGGATAAAAGAAATGAATCACATGGACCACAAGTTCACGAAACCTATCATAATATATATTCATAGTGATTTTGGTATTGTCGGAATAGGACAACAGACTCTAGTGAGTGAGTAAGTTTGGTTTTACGCCGCTTTTAGCAAATTGCAGGGAACACTAGAAATGGGCTTCACTAGAATTGTACCCATGTGGGGAATCGAACCCGTGTCTTCGGTGTGACGAGCGAACGCTTTAACCATTAGGCTGCCCCACCGCCCCCACAGACTCTAGTCTTTGGGTGAGAACTCTGCTGACTGTGCAAAAGTGTTGTATGAATATATATGTAACTTTTTCTGGTGATCAACTGAGTAGCTTTTATTTGTGTTTACGATGGGTACCGACGGTGGGGCAGGATACGCTCACCTTTTAGAGAATACCTGGTATCATCATTACTTGATAGCGAATTAGAACACGATTCAATCTGATATTTTCATGGAAGCGAAAATTGTTTTGTTGCTTTTTCCACAGCATTAACGCATCAAATCTATAATGTGATGCAAGCTGGCTGAATAGCTATGCCGTTTATATAGTTTAAGAGTATACATGTCTGGCCTAGTCACACCTGATACCGTTATCATCTTCCCGTTGTAACACTGTGTAAGGCTTCACCTACTTCATACCTGTCTGTTTGGCATTTGTCTGATGGGTGAAAACGGTGTTGTAAGGTTATATCTATTTTTCTGGTGAGCAATTGACCAGCTTCTGACTGTGTTTCTGATGGGTACCAAAGTTGGGGCAGGATGCGCTCGCATTTTCGGAAACACCTCATCAACACTACCTGATAGCACAAGATGTAAATCGCACAATTTAATCCGCTTTTGGCAGAAATTGTTCATGGAAGCGAAAATTGTTTTGTCCCTTTTTTCAAATCCTTAACATACCTGATGCAGGACCACAGCATACATGTGACATTTTATATAGCTTAAGAGTATACATGTCAAGCCTAGTTGTTCAATATGCTGAAGGTGCGCCTGATAACGTTATCTTCTAACTTTTGGAACAAGTTGAGGCTTCACCTACTTCATAACTGTTTGCTTGACATTTGTCAATATGCTTATGTCCATCACGTGATCAGTACTTGGACAAGATAGTTCCTTTGTTGTCCGGCTATACGACGGCGGTCTGGAAATAATCGGGTTTGGATCAGACTTTGCAGTGATTGACATCGTAAGCATCATCGATCTACGCAGATGGGATATGATAACATGTATCAACCGAGTCTGACCACCTGAACCCGTGAAGATCAGGTTTAGAATTGATCTTCACTAACCCATGCTTGTCGTAAGAGGCGACTTACAGGATCAGGTGGTCGGGCTCATTGACTTGGTTGACATATGTCATCGTATCCTAAATGCATAGATTGATGCTCATGCTGTTGATCACTGGATTGTCTGGTGCAGACACTATTATTAACAGACCGCCGCCATACAGAGACAATCTTGCCGAGAGAGGCGTAAAACTAAACTCACTCATTCCGTTGCCTGGCGCTCGATATTGAAAGAACCTAGTTATAACAACGGTACAGTGAACCCACGGGAGCTTTGTGTAGGTCCCCAAATATTGCTGAGTGCGGCGTAAAACAACAAACACACAGACCAGCTAGCTGACCACCTGATCACGTTAGTCCCATGGGTGATGGCCAATTTTCACGGTGTATTGGTTCAATAGTTCAACGTGCAAAAACACTTGACACAACTATTGACATAACACTATCTACAAACAGCACACAGTGCTGGGAAAATGCGAAGCCACACAATGTATCAAGCTGAGTGGAGCATCCGTCATCAGGAACAGCAAAATACTAGCGTTCAAAATCTGTAGAAATTCCGCCTACACCTTGTGACTTGGATGCCTCGAACATGCTATTAAAAACTTGCCAAATCCAAACCAGGATCCAGATCCACAAAACGTTCGTAGCGCTACGAGATTCGTTAATCTATCATAAACTATAGAGTTACGACAGGTCGTAACGTTACGAACGCTTTGCGGATAGGTCAGATGCCCTGTCATTAAAGCGTCAGCTCGTCAGGCCGACATATCGGGTTGGGCTCCCCGCACGGTTGAATCTAGACTTGCACTGTCAGGTAATAATTAATAGTTCAAATGAACAATCCCAAACAATGGCGTCCTCATATGAACTGCTGGCTTATCTATACTTGCCTCTTTAAAGGACACGGTTACTATACATCCATGGGCAATGAGTACGGCCATGGAGCAAGGCTAGGTTGAATCCTATTTTCTTGTATTTTCAAGCGTGATATTGCTAAAAGGGATGCCAAACCAGACTCACTCACTTTCTTATTAAATCATTTGGGAATATAACGAAATTCCCAATCTTATGTATTGTTTACCTAAATGACATTGCTTCCAATGCACTGAGATGAGGCTTGTGTCTTGTGTTTGTCAGATATTTGACGCTCAAATATTTTATTTCATTCGGATCAAACCATGAAGATTGTGGAAGAAAATTTTATATGTTTTTTAACAGGGAACCAAGTTGTGATTTATTTGGCTGTGCTTGGCTGTTCTTCAGAAGGAGTTGTAACATTCTGAGCCAAGCTGAAAACGAAGTGAGAGTGAGTTTAGGTTTACGCCGCTTTTGACATTCAGCAATACCTGGCGAGTGACACCAGTAATGGGCTTCCAACATTATA